AGTCCAGTAAACCTCGAGCAGTCGTCGACATTCACAAAACTATAGACTTTTCCTCCTAAGCTGGCAGTGCTAATGGGTCCAAACAAATTCATGTGAAGGACTTCTAAAGGTCTAGAGGTGCTAATGTCCTTAATGGAGTGAAAAGTGGAGTGGACTTGCTTTCCTAATTGGCAGGCATCACAAAGGTGGTCTTTTTAAAACTTATGTTTTGGGACTCCTCTAACTAGGTATTTCTGGGTCACTTTTCTAAGGATTTCTATACTGGAAAGACATAATCTCCTGTGCCACAACTATGAATTATCAACAGTAATTTTTAAGAAAAATGAAGCAGCACATTCAATATTATTTAAATCAAGCATGTAAATATTTTTGATCCGCTTTCCCTAAAAAATAGTGTTATTATTTAAGCTGATAATGCATGAATTTGCCAATAAATTTATGATGAAGCCCTTATCGCAAAGCTGGCTGATGCTGAGCAAGTTGTGTTTCAGTCCATCTACAAGCAAAATATTTTCAATCAAAAGGTTCTTCGAATTTCCAATTATACCTGAGCCTACAAGTTTCATGGTGGTGTTGCCTCAAAGAGTAACCTTGCTTCCTATCCTAGTCTGAAATAAAATGAATTGATTATGATCACTAGTAATATGTCAAGAGCATCCATTGTCCAGGTACCACATGCTCTCATGAGGCCTTTTGTGAGAGCTTGCCTACAAAATTATCAAATGTCAGATTTAGGAATCCAAACATATTTGGGTTCCTTCTTATGGAACGTAGAATGCAATGCATGCTATGAATCTTGTAACTTAGGTCTTCAGACCCAATATGAACTATGGTGAATGGTGCAAGTGTGTGCAATGTGTCATAGCATGTCATATGAAAAGCATCTAATTATAGAAAAAGGATGCATTAATTTACTCATGTGGTGATGCTTCTTTTTATGTGGTGCATGCAATGACGATTTTTTGTTTTCAAAAGTTTTTAGATTTTCTAATTTTTAAAACTCCTTTTTTAACTCAGCATGAGATGATTTTAAGGAATCATGTGCATCAGATAATTCAGCATGCTTTTTGTTTAATGCATCAAACTCATCAAGTAAAGACATGTGATTGCTATCAATTGTAGAATGATCTTTAAGAAGAATTTCATGCTCTTTTTATAAATTTAAAAATTCTAATTTTAAGTTGGCATGTGTTTTCTTAAGTTTCCTGTATGATGCATGAATTTGTTCTTAAATTTCAAGTAGTTTCTCATAAGTTTGTTCACATACCTCTTCTTGGTCACCATGACCAAGATTATCGTCTACCATTAAGCACAAGTTTGTTGTCTCCTCTTCAGGTTCAGTCTCAGAGGAGTCTGATGAAGAATCCACCCAGAATGCCTTTTGGAATCTCTTCTTCACCTTCTTAAACTTGGGTTTCTCCTCATCCTTTTTCTTTCTTTGGTGAAACATAAGAGCAGGGCAATCAGCTTTAACATGTCCCGACTTTCTGCATTCAAAACAAATCATATCATTAGAATTCTTAAAAAAAAATTCCCTTACCTTTATTCCACTTTTGATGGTTCTTTTGCTTCTTCCTTAGAAAGCTTTTAAATTGTTAGTGATTAAGGCAACATCATTGCTTTCAGACCCAGAAGATTCAGTGTCCGTGTTATTGGCCTTCAGTGTCACAATTCTCTCTTTCTTTTTCTCACCTGCATCAAGATTTCTTTGAATTATCCCTTGCTTATAAGCAATGAGTGAGCCAAGTAAGTTATCAATCGAATAAGTATTCAAATCTTTAGATTCAATAATTACAATGATTTAGCATCAAAAGAGGAAGGCAAGCATCTTAAATTTTTATTCACCTTTTCATAGTTAGTGAGTTCTCTTCCTAAGGCATGCAAAGAAGTTACAATTTGAATAAACCTTGTATACATTTTAGAAATTGATTCAGAAGATTTTATACAAAAAAAGTTCATAGTCATGCAACAAAATATATAATCGAGACTGCTTGACCTCTTTACCTTCATAGGTAATACATAATTTATCCTAAATATCTTTACTAGTAGTGCAAGTTGAAAAATGCATGTAATCTTCAGATTTAAAGTACAGAAAAAATGTTCAAATATTTTGCATTAAGTTGTGCTAAATCTCTATCATCATGAGTCCATTTAGTAAAAGGAAGAGGAACATTAACTTCATTAAGTTTACCAGTCGGAGGTGTATTACCCTCTTTAACAAGCATCCACATGCAATAGTCAATCGATTGTAAAATAGTAGACATGCTAGTTTTCCAAAAACTAAAAGGAATATTGTCAAACAAAGGTGGTCGTGTAATAGAATATCCTTCCGTAGTATTACAATTATTGTTGTTAGCTATGGATCACAATTCAAAAAGTTTTCAAACTTTGATTTTATGAATTCCACTCTGATACCACTTGAAAGTGCTCTGATACCACTTGAAAGTGCTCTAATACCACTTGAAGGTTCGTTAGGATTGTTAAGTCCTTATGAACTAGCCCAAGGCTAACCCAGAGGGGGGAGGGGGGGTGAATTAGTATTTTAAAAATTATTTTGATCAAAACACAAAACTCAAACCACAATTCACCACAAAAGAGTGTGGAAATTAAATGTGGAAAAATAGTAGTAAAAGCACACATAAATTTATAATAGTTCGGTAAACTCGACCTACATTCACTCCCTAGAGGTGCCCTCCGAGTATTGCACTAAACTCAGTGTCTCTCATTTTTCCCCCATAGCAAGGCAGAGAAACCTTTACTAAACTCCTTTTTCACCAACACCGGTGAGGCAGAGAACCCAACTCCTTTTGATTCCTCCTGAAGTAGGCAGAGAACCTCGATTAATTGCTGAAGATTACCTCTCTCAACCCTCCAAGGACAAAGGACAACAATCAGAGAAGACGACTTGGAACCTTTCTTGGAGTAACCCTTATGAATCCTCTCACAAACTCCCCCTCACAAGTTCCTCTCTCTCTCTATCTCTCTCTCCCTCTCTCTCCCTCTCTCTCCCTCTCCTCTACATTCTCTCAAGTCAAAACAGCAGTAAAAGAATACCTCTAAGGTAGATCAAGAGATCTTAAATAGAAGAGCTTCGGGATATCTCTTATTTTATACAAATAGACTTTATTGTCCATGCTGATAGGGGTATCGGCCTGGCCGATCAGTATAAATATTGCTTAATCAGCCTGGTCGATTTGGGACGATTAGATAGTTTATGGTCATATCGTCAAGGCTGATAAGATATCATCCTGGACGATTAGTTCAAATCCGAAGAAAATTTGCCTAAACATTGCCCTAAATAGAAGCTGGCAGATGTCAATCGTCCACAACATCGTCCTAGTCGATCCTGCGATCGACCCGGCCAATGTGAATGTGCAATTAGACGTAATTGCTTTTCTTAATCACCTGATCAATTTATGTATAATTGTGATGCATCATCTAGGCCGATGTCCTGGACGATGTCCAAAAATAACTAATGCCTAAATAGATAAGGTGGCTGAATCTTTCTGATTTGAGCTTATCGTCCTGGCCGATACAATATCGTCCAGGCCGATCGGCTTAATTATTGTTACCTTAACCATGATGCCCTAATTAGGGTTTCTATTTTTGAACCGATTGTCCAGGCCGATATAAATATTGTCCCAGACATTGTTACCAAAAATAGTAAACTCTAAGAAATAGTTAGAAATTCTCCGAATGTGTGTGTGTGTGGAAGGTTACTTAGCATTGGGAGCCACACCTTTTATAATAGACTCAAGAAAAGGAAAAGTGTACAAAGTGACTCAGACCTAGTCTACCCAATCTTGAGCTGTTTCCAATTGTCTTCTGATATTGTGGATCTGAAATGTTAATAGGCAAGGCAGTCGGTATATATATATATATATATATATATATATATATATCCTATTAGGTATATGGATTATTTTTAAGTTCGCAAACTTATTGATCGCATCCTTCAGTATGAAGAGATATTTCAACAACATTTCATCCCTTTCTATTCTCCATTTATGTTATTCACCATAAGATAAAAGTATGAGTAGAACAGAAATTGTGTTGCACCTATGCCTGTAGTGAGTTATAAGTTAGAGAATATGGTCTCATACTTTGTTTAATTATTTGTAACCTTGAACTTAATAATGAGGGCATGAATGATGATGATTCTTACTAGGCTATTTAAAGCTACGACTGCTCTTAGGCCTTGCTTTCTTAAGGGCAATCAACATACAAAATCTAATGCTACTTATATATCTTTGAAGGTTCTTTATTGTGCATTGCATTTGGAACAAAGCTAGGAAGTATTCTAGCTAGATTGATCCTTGATGACCATCCACAAAATGTAAGTACTTTGGAATTCAATCGATTCCACTAACACTTCAATAATCTTTTAGAGTGATTAGGCTTGGTGAGCATTATTTTAAGTGGGTGGTCCAATATGACTTGGATTGAAAAAGCATGAAAATAGTATTTAAGTAACTGAGATGAGATCACGAGAGCCCATATGATATTCTTCATCATTGATAACATTTATCAAGGACCTTTAATAGTCTTACTTACATTGTACTAGCCACGTATTCTTTCCTTCTTCTCAAATGAGCACCAAATTACTTGCATCCTTACCCACTCTTAGTTATGCAACAAGTACTTACCTAGTCTACAACTTCATAGTAGGGGTATTGAGTAGAGAAGAGGTTTGAGTATCTGGAAGATGTCCTTAAACAGTTCACTCATAAGCATTTTTTTTTTTTTGAAATTGCAAATTGCATTAAGTAAAGTAAAGACAAACCCCTACTACAATCTACTAAGTGATAGGAATTCTACCACAATCCTCCTTTAATAATAACAAGAAATTAGGAGGAACAATATTAGAACAAATATCTTCCCAAATAAAATCACCCAACAAAGCCAAGTTAGCACAACAATCGGCTAACTTATTACATTCTCTATCTACCCAGTTAAATAAGAAATAATCAAACTTATTGAGGAAAGATAAATCTTCATACCTAGCATCATGGATCGGAAAGGGTTTCTTAACAGCAGCCTTCAAATAGTTCACAACATTGTAACTATCACTTTCAAGTATAATCCATTTTGAATCCATCATCCAATCCTTAATAACTTTATTTAAATTTTGGAATGCCAACAACTCCAGAGCACCATTGTCCCAATGAGTACATTTGATTCCAAAAGTAAGGAGAAATCTACCTTTATGATCTCTAAAAACTCCACCAATTCTGGTTTCATTAGATCTCAACAATGTTGCATCTATGTTGACTTTAATCCACTCGGGGGGTGGGGATGCCCAGAATTTGACAATGGTCTTAACAACCGATTAGCACCTCAATGATCCTGAATTTAACTAAAATTCATAGCAATAGAAGTAGTACTGATGGCATTTGATGTTATAGATGATAGGCCAATCTCTTTCCCCTCATGAATCACCTTATTTCTACTTTTCCAAGAGAAGAAAGCTACCGTGCAATAAAATTTGCAGCAAACATATTTACCTTCAACATGTATTTCAGCTTCAGCAAGAAATCTGTCCAAGAATTAAACATAGGAACTGAGAAACCCCATCTATTTGCCGAACCGATTGCCTCTTTCATCTTTCCACATTTAATTGCTAAATTCTCTGAATTCTCCACCGCATCACATCCTCTAGGACAAAGATTATCATTCGCTAATTTTCTGTACACAAGGAAGTCTATAGATGGAATAGCATTTCTCCACAAGTGCCACCAGAACAACGCTACCCGTGGAATCAATTTCATTTTCTTAAACCAGCTCCAGGAATCTAAATTATCATCTGCATAAGACCTGGCTAACACAACTATAGTCTTACCAGAAAATGATTTAACAAGTTCCATTTCATCATCAGGATGTTCTGGATACAATTTAATTTGTAAAATTATATCAACCATCTCTTTCCCAAAGAATTTCAGAAATTCAACTTTATTCCAACTACCATTTAGGATAAAATTCTCCAATTTTGGAAACTCACCTTCAACTGTTGCAATGCAAGTAGGCCATAGTTCCAATCTTCTATCCCATATCCAGCAATCTTTTAGAATAATGATAGAGTTTCCTGCAACAATTTTGAATCTGATAACCGGTTGTAAGGATTTAGCTCCACAGATTAAAATCTTCCAAGTAGGAGAATTGAATCTCTTAACATCAACATGCATTACATCACTTCCATATTTTTCTCTTAAAGTTTTATTAAGTAAAGAATCTAGTTTCTTGAAGAAATTCCAAGTGAACTTAGCTCTCAAAGGTCCTACAGATTGAACTACTGAATGAACCCCTCGGCCTCCAACACAAATCGTTTTGCAGAGGTCTTCCCAGGCTACATAATGCAAGCCCGGATTAAAATCATCCTTCCTCCATAGATAATCTCTACACAATCTATCTAATTCCTTCAAAATACTTAAAGGAATTAAAGTATGTGTAGAGAAGAAGCCTGGTACTGAAAGAACCACAGATTTGATAAGAGCTAATTTTCCTTGAGAGGAAATATACTTTCTCCCCCAAAGATCCAATTTAGATAATACTTTGTCCAGTAAATATAGGAAATCATAGTGTTTCAATCTCCTCAATGTCATCTTCACACCCAGATACTGCAGCACCTTCACCTCCTTGATCTTCAATATATTCCAGATACATCTCCTTCATTTTTTACTCACTGATTTCCCAAAAATTACTACATATTTCTCCTGGTTCACTTGCTAACTCGTCCAGCAGCAGTAGCCTTTCAAAATTTTCTCAATCAACTTCACTTCCCCATCATTTGCTACATAGAGAATTAGGATATCGTCGGCATACATGAGATGGCTAATTTTTGAAGCTAACGGAGCCAATCTAATTCTCAGCTTGCTTCCTCTCAGTTCAAAGGGAATAGTTAGAAGTTGAGAGCATAAGATGAAAAGGTAAGGAGAAAGTGGGAAGCCCTGCCTAAAGCCACTCTTCCATTTAATCCACTCAGAATCAATTCCATTAATCATAATAGAAAAATAGGGATCTATCACACATTCCATCAAAAGATCAGAAAACTTCATAGGAAAGCCAAAATAGTGAAGAACTTGTTTAAGTGTATCCCAAGCCATACTATCGTATGCTTGCTCCATATTACTTTGGTAGAAACCAAACCTTTTTTAGATTTAGATAATCTAAACTTGTGGAAGATTTCTTGTGCAAGGAGGATCTGATCTGATAAAGATCTACCTTCGATGAATGCCGGTTGAACATCCATCACCAATGAATTAATAACTTTCATCAATCTATTCAACAAGACTTTTGCAACAATCTTGTAAATTGACATACAAAGGCTTATTGTCCTAAAGTTGGAAGGAAGAAGAGGATTGCTTACTTTAGGAATGATTACCACCAAAGTTTCTTTCCACTTAGAGGACATCCTACCCGATGTCAAGAAGAGATAAATAGCTTGCCATACATCTTCACCTATCACTTTCCAATAGGCTTTAATAAAAGAGAAAGAAATCCCATCCCTCCCAGGAGAGTTATTGTTTCCTTGACTTGTAATAATAGCTTCTACCTCCTCAAAAGTGAATTCCTGATCAAGAAGCTTACATTCTTCACTGTGGAGAACTTTAGATGGATTCGGCCAGCCCTCCAAACAAAATTCCCTCTGTCTCCATTTGTTCCCAAAATATTTGAACAAAACCTCTCTAATGGCCGAAAGCTCCTCCATTAGATTTCCTTCCTCATTTTTAATTTGATTGATGATATTCCCATCTCTTCTCACATTAGAAAATGCATGAAAATAAATTGAGTTTAAGTCTCCCTCATTAAGCCACTTCAGCTTGGACCTTTGTCTCCACCAAGTGTTTAATCTTGCTAGAGTCACATTCAATTCATTTATTTTAGATCTCAACAAACTGAGATCTTCTTTTGTGAAGCTGCTGCCATTAGCTTCCAGCATTTGCAAATCATCAATTTCCTTCTTCAAACTTTCCTCGAGCTCTAAAAGTTTTTTTTGTTTTGGCTTTGCTCCTAAAAAACAAAGCTCTTAGGGACCTATAAAATTTTTTGAAGGCCTTCCAAAGCATCACCACAAACAGCCTTGCTCCAAGAATTTTTTACAATAGTTAAAGATGCCAGATAAGATAACTAAATATCCTCAAATCTCAAATTTTACTATGAACAATCCCAATATAAAAAATCTTCAATACAATGGGACAATGGTCTGAGGCGACGTAAGGTTCTCACTAAGGCTTGATATACAAATTCCAATGCCTTAGAGTTTAGCAAGCATCTATCCATTCTCTCTAGAATCCTTGCATTACCCTTCTTGTAATTACACCAAGTAAACTTGGGACCAATAATCCCCACATTATACAAATCATTGTTGATCATGCAATTCTTTAATTCTATAGGCCCTTGGGAGAATTTAAATTTCTTCCCACCCCTTTTCTCCTCTTGGGAAAGGATAGAATTAAAGTCTCCCCCAACAACTAAAGGAAATTCTAAAGAAGAATGCCTCCCCACCAGCTCCCATAACTTCCTTCTCTTATAAAGGTCTTGGCTACCATAAATAGTGGACAAAATCCACACTCCTTTATTGCCAATATTCAACTCCCCTAATATCCCTTGATCTGAAGCTTCTATAGAGCAAAAGAAGACAAATTAGTCCTCCAAATAACTAGAATTCCTCCTGACATACCGGCCGAAGGAACCATGAAAAAATCCAAGTCAACTCCCATGAATCTGTTGAATTTACTTCTACTAAGATTAGAAATCTTGGTTTCTACTGTTCCCACAAAGAAAACATCCCATTCTTTCACAAAGTCATTCAAATATAAGGAGGCTTCTCTCTTGTTTTCCCCCTACAATTCCAAATGGCTAAGGAACTCATCTAACCCCATGAGGGGGAAGGACCCCCGCTCCTTTTCTTATTCAACCCTTTCTTCTGCCTAGAAGAGGAATTCATAGGTCCTAAAGACCTCAGTTCATGTAATTTTGGTTTATTAATTTTAGTAGCCTGATCAGATCCTCCTTGATCTTTTAATATGACAATTTTTTCAGCTAGCTTCTTCCCCATATGCTTTGGACAGACTAACATATCTTTAGTCTCCACAACCTCAACTTCAACCAGCCCCCCTTCCTCAAATTCTATCTCTACATCTGCTACAATTTCTCCGGATTTACTACCCATAATATGCTCTTCACCTTCCAGAGAGATGCCAGGATATTAAAACTATTGTCATTCTTCATTGCAATATCACTGGATTGAACAGAATTTTTCTTCTCAACTGAAACAATTTGCACAGAATTAACCTTCATCATCTGTTGATCCTGTACAACTTGATCAAATATTCCTCTAATTTTGGCGGCATGATCCTTAATCAATGATTCATTAAATTCCTCATGAGGAGGAATCAATACTTCAGGTTTTTTCTTTCTAAAAACTTGTTTAGAATTTGGAACAATCCCAGGCATCTGACAGTTCACCACCATCTGAGCAACCCTGTTAAATAATTTTCCTCTTCTCCTATTAACCAACATCCAGGGACCATAATTTACCTCTTTTGTATTTGAGTTTAACTAAACATCAACCTATACATTTGTTGAAGAATTAAGCCTCTCCATCATATTTATTTTTCCCACTTCCTTCTTAAGATCACAAGCATTATTAAGTTGGCCCAACTTTCCACATTCAAAATAAAGTGTAGTGTTTTTCTCATACTCCACTTTCTGAAAGAAATGACCATTCAATCCTTCCACCCATACTCCCAAGGGTAATTGCTTATCAAGTTCAATTCGCACACACACCCTTGCAAACTCCCTTCTCCCCCATTTAAACAAGTCACCTTCGATGAGTAAGGGAACTCCAATCAAAGAAGCAATCATTTCCATGTTTACTTCATCCCAACAGTAAAGTGGTAGATTGGGTAATCTCACCCAAATGGGAGAAGACAAACCTTTTATAGAGTAAGGTGAGAATTTTGTGCTCCATTTGTCTATACCCACAATGTGTCCCTTCATGAACCAAGGTCCTCCTGATAGCACATTCTCTACTGCTTCATTGGAGTAAAAAAAACACAGGAACAAATCAGATCCCAGTACTGTAAGATGGAATTTACCAAAATTAGACCATTGCTGACGCAGTTCATCAGCCACCATTTGAATTGAATTGAATTTTCTAAATACCTTAACCACCATCGATAATTGAAGATTTTTTTAATTGATATCTACATTTGGCTCAAATAATTTCACCACCATACCATCTTCAGACAAGAATTGTTCTTCCTTTAACAAATTGACCTTAAGGTAAGGTCGCTTTCTCCATGGATTATTCTGGACTTTATCTTCCATTCTCGGATCTTTAATTATAGTATTTCCCATAGCATTCCCATCATCCGCATTAACTGGAGCAATAATACAAACATCTGAGCGCCTCAACTCCTTAGATTAGACTGAAGTAGCTCCCTCCAAATTGATGTCAGGTTTAGAAATGTTGCTGAACCTTTTGACCAGTAATTTCATATTCGATGATGAAGATCCAATTTCATTTGACTTCAGCACCTCACTCTTCATCTGAGAAATGTTAAGAATCAGTTTCTCCTTACCCTTACCCAGAACTGCAGAGGGGGATTTAAAAACAAATTCATTTGGTTCCCTTATGACTAAAGGACCGTTAACATAGCTGAGCCCTGGAAAGTCCTCATCCCATGATAAAGCAGATAAGTTGGAACAGATACGGGAGGACTTAGGTTGAGCAATTGAATCGTTTTGGTCATCAGAACTTACCGACGGCTGGCCATCCATCCCGTACGAAAATCCCGCCAACGCGTTGAACATAGGGAAATTTTGAAAAATGGTTGTTACAAAACAGGAGTCTTTCTCTCTAGCTTTCACCTCTTTATAACCATTTAGTCTTAATACATAAGCTCATAAGAATTTCTTAGTACTTTCAGGAAAGATAAGCACATCCACCCAATTTGGAGATGAAGTGATTTAACTTAGTACCTCACAAGGTGCATTACTGCAAATCCTTTGATATCCTCAAAAGAGGTGTATTGAGAATAAACTTCATTTCATTAGGATTGACTTTCATGCCTTTATAGTTGAGATGGAACAAAAAAATTTGGTTAAAGCTACACCAAAGGTACACTTATGAGGGTTAAAGAGCATATTGTATCTCTTTCATTTGGTAAACATCTTCTTTAGGACACAACTTTGTTAAGGATATGTACTCTTCACCAACAAGTAGTCCACATAGATGTTGATATATTGTCCCTTTTGGATCCTAAAACTATGATCCATCATCCTCTATTAGGTTTCCCTCACACTGTTCAATTGAAATGGCAACACCTAATAGTAATTCAGGCCATCCACTATGGTGAATGAGGTCTTTTCGTAGTCATTGGGGAACAATCCTACTGGTAATATCCAAAGTGTCATGGAAGCACATTACTAAAAAGCCTACTTTCAAGAGTTGATTATAAAATCTATCTTGTGATGTGGATAACTACTCTTTAGGAATACTAAGTTGAGTTTAATAAAGTTAAAAAAACATAGTCCACTTTCCAGTCACTTTTTGAGCCATTACTTCATGGGAGATCCAATCAAGATACTACACATCTTTGATGATGTCTATGTAGAGTAATTTTTTTTGTTCATGCTTAATAGACTACACAGGAAAAGCTACCATTCATCTTATTTTCTAATTGATGGGTCTTACATTTATTTTTACATTTAATTTGTGATTGGCGACTTCTTCATCGTTGTCAAAATTCTCTATTATTATCCAAGGTAAGAAGACTAATCCATCTCAAAGGGTTTAGACATGTTCTCCTTGGTGCTTTATATTATATAACACACTTATTCTCCAGGTTCTCTTTAGCTTGCCTTCAATATATTGAACTTCTTCCACGGTGTCCAACCTTGGGTCTCAATCGACATTAAATTACATGACCTCCAATTGGAAGTTTGCGCCTTCCAAAAAGCTCTTAAGTTAACACCTTTCACAATGTTGAATCCAAATCTGCTAGTGGGTGACACCTGAACTTAGTTGCAAGAGAGCTCCTATGGTACAATCCTAGAACTTGCATGATAATGGAAGAAAGAGAGGAGAAAACACAATAATAAATGATCTACCACTCAAATATCTATAGAAAAATAGCAAAGAATCTAAAATATTTCTTTTTGCATTTTATTTATAAAGATCCACTAGCTTTGAAAAATGCTACATTAATAAATAAAATAAAATAATAAAACAACTTTTAGTACCAACTTCCAAGGAAACATGTCGACCCTTAACTATCTTAATGGATGATTGAATCTCTAAATATTGTTTACCTATCTTGAGGCAAGTTCCATATTACAGTGTAGGTGAAAGTGCGAAGAATGTGAGTCTGTTGGTGAGTGCTGAGGTTATAGGGATGTGATTCGCAAGCATTTCAAAGACTTTGGTGATCTTGGTTACAGGTCTACTAGCACACACGTATAAGGTTAGTGTGCTTGAGTTGCGAGGATGGAAGGCTCAGTGGTCGGCTAACATATATGGGATGAGTTGGAACTCTTTCAAAAAAGTAATTTTCTATGGTTGAGATGATAAACATGGTTAGTGACAAATGTCATTTGGAGAAATTTCTTGCATGAGGGTGAGTGACTAGTTGAGTGATTCACGATAACCCTTAATTACTTTTGTGAGTAGCAACCTTAAGTTTTCTGCATTAGACCATCTTCTAGTCTTCTATTCAAATATCTCTTTCAACATCCTTCATAGTGCTCATCACTAGATTGTTTTGCCCGTCCCCTCATTGCTTGAGCTGCTACTCCTCTGGCTTGTGGATTAATGTTGTTTCTCTGCTTGAGATCTCCTTCTTCTTGATTACTTTCTATTGGGTGGTTTCTACTTTGGTGGCCTATTCTACTTTTTATTGTGTTGGCATTAGCTGTTTCCACTTTATTTTTTGTACTAGGGCCTATAACTTTGGTAGGACTTTGGTGGTTCCTATTTGTTGGCTGTCCATTGGTGGGGATATGACATACTGGTGGTTCTCTTACCTCTCTTTGAGCTTATTATTTTTTTGGATATATCTTGTGCTTTGTTTCCTTTTTTGCAGGATTCTTTGTTGTGCAGGTCTGTGCGCTTCAAACTTTTTTGGATAAGGAGCTCGTGTTGATCGTAATTTCTTTGCTGCTCTTCTTTTTTGGGTGCCCTTGCTTATGCACCGTAGGATGTACCTAAGTTGTTTTCTATTTCTAAGTAGTAGGGATCTTGAGCTCATAGGATTTTTTGCTTTCTTCCTTGTAGCTCTTTCTAGCGGTAATGAGTCGAGGTCCCTTTAAGGACCTTCTACATTTTGCTTTTAATCAATGCATATGCCCCTTTGAGGGTTTTCCCTAAACAAAAATATGTTGACACCGAGCTAGAGGACATAGAGGGAGGTTAAGAACCAACTCTAGCATCAGCACCTATATACTAGCCTTACTAGTATGAGACACTTATTCAGATATTTGATTAGATGGAGGCTGGCTTTGATGCTTAAATCACAGAGCAAAATAAGTAACATCAGATTGATATGGCATGATTTGGAGAGCAGTTTGTATCCCTTCATCGATACTTTTAGCCACCTCCATCACCCCACCTAATCAGGGACCTTCCTATTTTAGCATGTGTTATTTATTATAGTTTATGTCTACATTTTTTTTATCATATTTGCTTTAATTTTTTTATCATACTTAGTCATTCCTCCTTTTTGGTGATTTCAAAAGGGGGAGAAAAATATTATTAGTAGGTTATATTTCTACTTTTATAAAATTAGTTTAGTTTTTTTTTTTATTTCTAGCTCATGATTATGTGTTGTTCTTTTGTTCATGATTATGTGTCATTCTAGTTCTTCTCGTTTAGTCCTTTAAAACAAAACTCCCTATTTAAAAAAAAAATACTCAACCTGTAAGGCGAACTTTAAGACATGGAAAAATTAATTTGAAAATGTAACCAACAATATTTTCCCTCATCAAAAATGGGCGAAGGGTTGAAAATCTATACCCAGGTTTTATTATTTTGATGAAAGCAAAAATTATTGGGTTGTATACTATGTCATATCTAGTTATTATTATTATTGGATATTTATTCCTATGCACTAACGTTTTAGTTCCCTCATACAACGCACAAAGTGATCAACTCAGGATTGTGTATAATAGGTTTAAGCATCTTTAAGAGTATGTACTTTAAATTTAATTTAATTCTATATTTTTTGAGTCAAAATCCTATATTATGTTGATCCTAAACTTGGTGGCCGTGCCAACACACACAGTGGAGTGTGAAAATAAGAAAATTAGAAGTGTAAATTTTTTTAAATTAATTGTATTGTACGATCCATATCAAATAGTATGATCATCAATTTAGAAAATAATTATTATAGCTTATTGGAATTATTAATAATTTTTTACTCATCATACTATATTATCCATACCATACAAAATGATTGGTAAAAAACATGATC